GCAGGCATATATATTAGTATGCACCTTATTGATAAGTGTACAGCAATTAAATGTTTATGTTCTGTTTTTGTTAAATTTGTAGTATGCCACCTCAATTTGTAAAATAATATAAAAGATGTTTAATAGAGACATCAAAGTGAACGCACAAGCAGAATAGATTAACATAATTTAGAATTGACTGCATGGTAAAGTAACACAGATCCTCCCTGACTCTGAGCCAGATTACACATAGAGTGAATCTGTTCACAAATGCCCAGCAAAAGGTCAGCATGGTATTGAATTTTTTCAAATATTTTTCAAAATACCTCCTGGCATTGCAAATATTTTTGACCAGTGCGTAATACTTTGGGGAAGGATGAATTCCCTCTCTCTTACACACATGCACGCAGATAGCACTGCACTATGCCTGCCAATCTGCACTGAAAAACATCGCTCTGGGTTATTCATCGATTGACCATTCAAATCCCAACATATGCTGCTCTGCTTCTATTCCACTGTGTTCTCAGAAATGGACTATTTCCTAATTCTTCCACAAGGCTTCCTACCCTGTTCAGGAGTCACTCGCACACCATGTAAATGAGAGGAAAAAAGTAGGCAGGAATGTAAATTGATCCAATGCGTGTGTAAATGTGCATGTGCACATGCACACGTGTATTTGTGTGTGCCCGTGTAAACATTTTGACCTATTTTCAGAAAAATGCAAGGACAATATATCATCCAAGTTTTGCTCTTCAACCCTAAAATGAATTACCTATGATATCTATCACATCATGCTGTTTGGTTGATTCTCTCAAATACATCTTATGTCGTGAATGATAGCGATCACAGGAAAGTGAATTTGAGAGTTTGTGTCCACTTTTACAATAATATTCACCCCAAGTGCTGCACTGTCAAACATCTCAGCTTCACTTTACTTTTCATGTCTTTCTTGCTTTAGATTCCAAAATGTTTTCCTCTCAGAGACCCCCTCCCGGTGTTACCCCTGTCGTTTTCCTTTTCTTATCCATCCTTTTGATCACCTAAAACATCAGTCCATCACCACCAGACGCTGTGGTTTATGTCTCCCTGCTGTCCACAGCTCACTGTCTGCCTTCCAGTGAGAGCTCCTCCCTGCTGAGCCGCTGCCCATTTGCCAAACTCAAGTGTTTGTGGGAGAAGTGAGCAGGTTTTACATGGAGGACTGCCTTAATGTTGTTCAGTTGGTGGGCAGCCACACAGGGTGCTGCACTTCAGATTCACTGTTTGTTCATCTGTGCAGGGCCATTTCTCTCTCTCTCTCTCTCTCTCTCTCTCTCTCTCTCTCTCTCTATCTCTCTCTCTCTCTCTCTCTCTCTCTCTCTCTCTCTCTCTCTCTCTCTCTCTCACACACACACACACACACAACACATTTCTGGATTAGAGAACCTAAGATAATTAAATGTTAAATTCCTAATATATTGTCCTTCATTGTGTGAACCATAAGAGGAGTATTTAGTGTAAACACTTGGCTCACTACGATGTTACTATTTTGTCTGGGCAGTAGAGGTATGCCTTTCAACTGGGGATTAGGAGGGGACGTGGCCCCTATAGGGCTCCCTCAGAGCAAAGCCAGTCCTCCCATGTTAATTTCTCAAGGTCAAGAAGAACCTCTGCAATGTTTCAGCTTTGAAGGTGGACTCGAAAATACAATAACAGGAACCCTGCTGTATAGAAAGGGAGAAAAGAGAGCACACTGATTCAATACCACTACATGTATCTGTTTGCTAAGATCAAAGAGGCCAGTTACAGAAATGTCTGCTTTAAGTGAGTTCATAAAGGACTTTGTGAATAAATGAAACTTTTGCCTTATATATAATGAAAGCAGTAACTCATTTTAAAGAAAAAACAAGCTGATCTGCAATTTTACTGAAACCTTGTTCCACTGATGTCCTTGTTGGCTCAATCCCTTCAGGAATAAGCATTAATATGATCATTCATCATTCACTGTCTTTAACACTTATTTTACAAGCGGCGCTGTCTGGGTTCTAATTGAGCTACTTTACATTGTAACAAGGCAACAAAATGCACCGGATTGAAGCAGACCCTGTTCCCTTATGTATTTAAAAATAGGGCTTTAGAAAAAGCTACATTGCGTGCGTCCCGCCTTTTGAGATTTAATGACTATCCTGTGACTCCACAGAGAATTACTGCCAGTAATTGATTATTAAAACTTGAAATTGCAAACCACATCCATTATTTGACGAGTGCATGTGTTATCCTTGTAATTAACAAAGCTTGGCAGTTACCGTTTGCCAGTTCCGAGACCCCCAGAAAAATGTATCAGAGGTTAGAAAGGCGATTTATAGAGCAAGCACTGTCTGGGCAATTATCTGAGCCATAATACATTACTTAAGATGCTCAATACACCAAGAAAATCCCCCTTCACCACAGCACAGCCACGGTATCGAAAATATCACCTTTTGTGAAAAGATATAAAAGGCATCAATTTGATGGCACCTTTGTATTTGGTTTACATTAAATGTTTCTCTTTTATTAAAAACCCATCATCTACATCAAATTGACACCTAGTTATAGAGCTTATTTTTTAACCTTTTTCCATTTGTCAATTCATCATTTTGAGCATCACATACAGAAACGTCTGTGTGGCATTGACAAATATCTGTATATGAAATAACTGGACACATTGAATAACTTGCAACCAATTCACATAATGCATCCATGGTACTAACAGAAAAGAAGAAATATAGAAACATAGCATTCTTTGGGCCAAGAGGTAAAAACATGGTGTGCTTCTGAAAAATGTATTGCTGTTCCTGTGTTTTCTTACCAATAATTAGTTTTTTCATACAGATACACATTGTACATAAACACTGTCCTTAATCTTTACTCTAAAGGTACATCATGACCAGTTAATGGATTATTCCTGCCGAAAGCTTTTGATTTGTTTTGCTCTTAGATGAATACTTTAGAGTGATTGATCAGTGTCTAAAACGAAATATTTATTTTATTTGTATGACCTAACATAGATATACTATTAACTATGTTTCGGAACTATGTGTAAAATAATTAAAACAGATACAAATAATTTATATATTTACAAATGCTTTTCTTCTCCACCTTATCTTTGTTTCAGTCCACATGTGAAGCTACAAAAGAGAGCACTGTTGGATTTGCTTTTGGCTTTAGATACCCCTGATGGGAGAGCCCTTTGCAAAAGAACAGTTTAAGCCTCTAACCTTCACTATAGCGCATCCCCTAAACAAAACTGGCCTCATTTCCTCATACACTGCCTTGACTCATACCCAGATAATGCCCTTTCTTGTGGATCAAGAGCAGAGCAAACAGCAAGGTCTTTAGTACATTGGAGATAATCAGTAATTGGCTGAAGACAGCGCTGCCAGATAATTGAATACAGACTAGGGGAATCAAACAAGAGGGGCATTTAAGAGCAAAGTGAAGTTGACAACTCTGAAGTGTGAAACCTGAAGTCATAAGAGTGAGAGTGCAGGCAGGAGTAAATCCAGGGTAGCTCTGAGAAGTGTTAGGAACAGTGGTGGTTGTCCATGAGGGCCAGAGACAGAGCGGAGAGAGGCTCTTTATTTACTGGGAGAAATGCTGTATCCACAGGCCGTTTGGGCAGGATGGAGCTGGATGAATTCATTAAAGGAAACGCAGTCTCTCCCAGCTGCCATCTCTCCCCCTGCAGCCAGACTCCGATCAATGGCAGGAATACATCCAAAACAACATTTAGCACAAGACCTCGGAAGCAGGGGTGCATTTAAGACTTCTCTGTGTGCGCACATCTCCCCTGGATGTGAGCACTGTTTCAAAATGTGCTATTGAAGTAGAGCAGGGGAGGTATAGGGGCAATGTGTTTGTATCACAACAGAGAAGACTGGTTAACATGAATGCGTCAAGACAAGGTTCTGTGCTGTTTACTGTTGTGGAGGTACCAATCATAGCCATTACTATGCTTTTCATCATATTCTACAAAGCCTTGAGAGTCAGTTGTAAATAAAACGTAGATCAGCTTCAATGCATTACTTACTTACTCACTACTGCTATATGTATCATTTATTTCCCACAGATAAGCCTTTGCATTAATGTACAATGTATATTAAGTCCATTTCTAAGTAACTTTTAAGGCAGTTAGAACCTACATTGCATCTTTGACACATTTGATATCTATTATGTAATTTAAATTGCACTAAAAAATACACATTATGATTTAATACCTAAACCTGGACAAGCCAAAGCAAAATGCTTGTAGTACCATCTAGTGGTAGTACAACCGCTATACATAAGCTGCCCAAAGCATTCAGTAAATCAAACTAGACAATGTTAGGCTAATGCGCCCCATACAAGCTATATAGTGCAACTAAATTTAACTATGTGCTGGATCTCATTAGAGAATCATGACTTATGTATTCACTATACAAATCTCTTTTAGCAGTAAAGTGCCCCACTGTGTGCTGATGAGGGAGCTAAGGTGGACTTTTCGTTGTATAGTGAGATTTAGTGTCTGTCATTGCATTTTTATCATAACCCTGTATGGCCCATTTACCATGCAAATACAATAATGTATACTTTTTTGCTTCAGTGTCCCAGATCAGAGTTTACTGTGCTGAACAACATATAGTAACGTGATTTTAACATTCACTACAGTATGTGTACATAGTATATTTTCCTAAAATAGAAAAATGAATGATAGCAATAAAATCTTACAAACAGACTTTGTTTATATATATAAAAATATGCAGTCCATAGTATTTATTGTTCAATGCAATGTTGTACAGCTGTAAAATTATTAAACTAACATTAGATGGTGTTTCAACCATGTCACTGATTTAAAATACCTTGTTATCAAAAGCTGATGCGTTGATGGCAGTGTCCACAGCAGTGGGAATAACACCAACAACCAAGCCAAGTATTTCAAAATGCATACCTGAATTCAAAATCAGTCTTCTTAACGGCTTTATCTAAAACTGGTGAAATAAATGTCACTCCTGACAAGCTCACAATTAAAGTCATGTAAAACAAACATTTCATTTAATCATAAACATTTCAAATGAATGTACAGTGCAGTGAGGTTGTGTGCCATGTCTCTCCACCTGTACATCACGTCTCCTCTCCCCTCTACAGCAGTATCGATCCCACTCACAGGGCATGCACAGGGGCACTTCCTGAGAGGTCATTTTAGCCCTCATATAGAAAACAACAGCAATTTATTTTACAAAAAAAATACCTGAATACTTAAAAATACAATGACAAAGAAAAGAAAGATAGCTTGGTTTGCTCAAATTAAAGAGGACAGCGGTGTTGTGTATGACAATTTCTTGCATGATATAATTTCAAATAAAAATGTATCACATGCTCTACAATGCAGAGTATAGGAAGTCATGTTTGGACCATGGATTTACCACCAACCATTAGCACATTATGGGGCAAAGACTTCACGGTAGAAGATGCAAATCACCAGCACATGTGGTCAGTTATCATGGTCTGTTCTTAAATTCAGCTTTCAAAGCAAAGAAGGAGGGCCCATGTAGCAGACTATGGATGTCAATGATAGTGGATTATAACAGTGGTTTCAGTTAGCATGGCTGTATGTCTTTCTTCTTCAAGGCACAAGAACACTGGGAGTGTTTGTCTGGAAAGGCCCTGGAGTTAAGGTGCATCTGGGCCCTCGGGGGTCTCGTGGGTCCCTTGTTCACAGGGCGATACGGGCACAGTGGTGTTTGAGCTTGCAGGGCAACACCCCTCTGTTTAGCTGGTAAAATTCCACCAACTGGATCAAGTCGGTGAAGCGTGTTTGATCGTCATCCAGACTGTAGAATAACTCCCCATCATCGTCCACCTGAAGGGGACGCACACACAAACATGCTTACATTTCACATCCACACATGGTTTTAGATGGACAAATATTAGCCTAATAAATAGTTGACCCTCTATAATAGGGCTACATACACAGCATAACATAATAACTCTCCTCTGATATTTATGAAACACAATTTAATCTTCCATTTGAAAAAAAGTTCAAAAATGTTTGTATATAATGTCAATTATAGTTCAAAGAAGAAATTGGAAACAGCACATCAGATTTTCTTTAAATATCTGAAATTCTAATCTGCCAAAAGAAAATTGTGACCAGTGTATCTATACTGAATTCTGTATGAGGCTTACATTTGGAAGTTGGGTAAGGTATATAAAAAAATAACCTTGTACAGTATATAGGAACAGTGAATTGTACTCACGGGTATGATCTGAAAGTGTTTGATTTTCTGCATGTGGCACAGCGACAGTACAAAAGTCTTAGGGTTGCTTTGGCTGTCCCTCAGAAGAAACATTCTGAAAACAAAAAGAAAGCTCTTCACTGTTGTATCACTTAAACCCTATTTAAAATATGTATAAAATGTATACAACATGTTGCGACATTTACAAGTATTTGAAAAAGTAAGACGTCTATTATGGACTACAAAGGAATATTGCTTTAGCTCCATTGTTTTTTTCTTTTTGGAGATCTGCTTCCATTATCTTGCTTCCAGATGTAAATATGCTAATTCATACAAATGTCTTTTAAAATATTTTGGAAGACTCTACATTGACTATTTTGCAAATACACTACAGTATTGTTAAATATAATATATTTTTTAAATGTACAACAGGGGTATATATAAACAGTACTCCCAGTCCTGTCTTTCATAAAAGGGGATATTAAAATATAAAGATTGAGATTGCACCAAATGCTGTAAGCCCAGTGGTCTAATTTCTCACAATAAACCTAATGTATTTAATTACATAATGAAAACAGAGAAAAAACTCCTTACCCATCGATAAGACCCTGCTGAGTGATTATACGCTGAGCCTCCTCCCTCCACAGTTTGCCGTGGAACCAGGGCTGACCCAAGTGGAGAGCTGAAGCACAAAGAAATTGATATACTTTGAATGATTCCTTTTTTAATTATCTATTTCACGTGTGTACAGATGACAAAAAGGAAAAGTGACCCACAGACCCATGTTTAACAAAGAGCTGTGTGATGTGGAGGGGCTCCCATGGCCGCTCAGACGGTGGCAGCTCTTCCTCTGAGGCAGAAATAACAGCCACAATATTAGTTGTAGTCACGTTGATAGTTAATTCATCCTTTTTTCTAAAGACACAACCATCAACCCTATACGTGTTTATGTTGCTAAGATATTGTGTATACTTTTTTATATCAAAAAAACATTATGAATTCGTAATAACTCTTAGGTTCACCAAATGTAAAGATTAAATGTTTTCAATAGTGATTCACAGACGTACCCTCCATGACAGGCCTTCCTCCACCGCCACAGACATCGCCTCGGACGGGTTCTCGATCACACGGCTCTTTTGGCCAGAAAAGTCCATGGCCACCAGTGAATTCTCTGAGATGCTCCTCTGAAATTGCATGCACAATATACAATTTTGTATTATCAGATTGATGCTTGTTTAATTCAATCCTTAGTAATGTTGCTATTTCTTTACTCATGATATAACAATGTTTTATTATTAAACTCAATACAATTTTATGGAGGGTTGATTTCCCTTTTATTCTTAGCATGGAATCGCTTTGGCTCTCTTTTGGTATTGTATTGCCATCTAGTGTCTGAGTAACATGACTCCATCTTCATCATTTCTGGATGATCCCAGACAGAAAAGAAGTCCATTGAAAAGGGATTAAAGTAGTTTTGAAAAGAATGACACATGGGCACATTTTAGCCCCTTAAGCTGCCATATAGTGAGTGGCTCACTGCACACACCCAAGAAATGTCTTCTTATCAGAATTACTGAGAAGCTTTTAAATGACCACATTTGTTACTCTGCCACCTACTAAGCCTACAATTTAAATGAGTGTTTAATACAAAGTGACCAGTGCTTACTTTGAGGATAGGCCATCCCTACCCATCGTATTCACTATGACACATTTTCAATGATAGACATCTTATCAGGTAACACTTTATGAAACCATCATTCATAAAGGGTAACAGATAAGTTACTTAGATCAGGAATTACTTAATGTTTAACAAACATTGACATGAATAATAATAATATTGACTAATTATTAGTGATACTACAATGTATGACGTTTTATCATTAGATATCAAATCATGTGTTTATACTGTAAACTAGGTACTGAATCATAGCCGATAAGACAATTACTTTCTGATTACTTTAATAAACTATTTAAAATATGTTGAAAATATTATGAAGTTGTATATATTATATTAAGTATTTGTTAATGATGATCAAATAATGTGTAAACCTTTCAAAAGAAAATGTGTAAACCATTTCTAAACATTCTTTAGATATCTATGATGAGGTTGCAACAAATAATTATGACGGCCACCCAAATAATTAGTTTATAGATAAGATTTCACGAAACAATAGTTATTAACAATTTGTTAAGTCATTTCAAAACAACACTAATAATACAATAATTAACCATTTATAGTGTTACACATATCTGTGTCTATGGATGTCTCCACAAGTTTAACAAACTATTTTCTTAAAAGGTTTACAAATCATATGGTGATCATTAAAAAGTATATAATTAGGTATAAAGTGTTATGTAAGTATTAATGCAACAATAAACAAAGATTGCCTACATAACAGCAATATGAATTATTATTAGTACACATTATAAATTGTCCTTTTTTTATCAAACTATAAACAAAAAATAAATTAACAATGAATTTACTGCTAATTAATAATAGTTACTATAAAGTGTTAGTGATCGTATGAATCAGTTGTTTATCTAAATATTTGCGTAGCCTCAGCAACCTGCCCCGCATCTGGCAGATTCCCGTTCTCCCCTATCTTTGTGGCTAATCCTCCTGGCTGGTCACAATGACCCTCTGACAGCAGAGAAGAGGTGATGAGTTGTTAAATCTGAGAGCAGCTGATCACTGTGTATTTTTAGAAAGCGGAGGGTTCACGAGCATGTCCAAAGGCCATAAATAGATTGTGTTCACTGCTGTGAAAATATTCCCAGTAGAGTCTGAGGCTATTCTGAGACACCAAACCCACATTAACACACTGAAGGTGCCTCATTTGTCCTATGCAATTATATTACTACATTGCTATGTGTTGGCTCTAACACATGTCTGACACATGGAAATTCCTTTTTTTGCTATCCTGGGAGCTGTAGTACACGCTATAAAATAAAAACTGACCAAATACAACCTTAAACATTTGTAAAGGCAAACATTTAAGCAAACCTTTACCTAAACAATATCCAATTATCCTTCTGAGTAAATATCAAACACCATTAGCTAATGTCAAAAGAGGTCAAAAGTATTTAGCATATATGTTGAGGGAATTGTTTGTGGGTTTTTCACTATGAGGGTCCCATTTATTTGGAAGCTATCATTGATATAAATTCATAAAAGTTGCCAAAATAATTCACAATATTATCACGATACCTTAAGCCATTTTAAAACTATGAAATAAAATATTGCTATCAGTCAAATGTAACTTTAACGTTGTTTACAGTGTGGCAAATTAAATACACTCAGTTATGGGCAGGAATTTGTGAGAAAGAGACAGATCACAAAATGATAAATCATAAAAAGACTTTCAGCCTACCATTGGTGAAGCTTTTTGTTTCTGGTGTGGCTGGATAAAGTTCTGGTACAGCTCCATCCCATACTGTAACATAGAAACATGTCAGGATTTTAAATTCCAACCCCAAATATTGATCACATTTTACCTTTAAAATAGGTTCAGTAGACCGGGAGTGAATGATGAAAAGGGGCACATAGAAATAAATCACAGTCTGTTGCGCTTTACTGTTTTATTAATAGACCAGCAGGGGAGTTTCTAATGCACTGAAGTGCATCCAGCAGATATCTAGACAATGAACACATGCTGCTTCTATAAAGAGTAGGAGTGCTAATCCAGCATCACTCAATAGTTTCCCTCACCCTGCTCCCAAAGCTAAATCTGATTCTAGCACTGACTCAGCATTCCTCCTCTAAGACTTCACCGGTTAGCGATCAGCAAGCCAACCTTTAACAAGCGCATGGCTGTGATCCAGCAGGTCCTGGTCTGCTCATCATCCGCACAGAGCAGCTTCAAGTCCCGGCCCGAACTACCCTTTGTAGACTGGAGAAAGAAGTTACAAGAAGACAAAATAGTTCAGCACGCTAGTAATCAATACACAACTTCAGCATTTCGAGGAAGTGAAGGTACCTTGACACAGAAGCCGTAATCTGTAGGTGCTCCATGTTGTTTTTTGGCTGACAACACTGTGTAGACATCACTGTCACTGAAGTCGGCAATGAATTGGAGATGCCTCGGTTCCTGTAAAAAAAAAAGATAAGTCATCATAAAATAAGAGTCAGATATTTATCTCCACAACATGGAAATCTGATGTATGTGAGAGACACATGTTTGGTCTTTGTTTATGTCACATTCTTGCCTCTTTATGTAAAAAAACACAAGAAAGTCATTTCCTTTTAGAAATGAATGGGGCATGGTCCTGTTTGAAATCTGTTAACAGTGAATAAATGCAATGTACTATACATTTGAATCAAACCCGATTTCCAGCCTATTATTTTGGGTAAAAGGAATATAATAGCTTATTTAGGGCCGAGGTGAAGCATACTAACATTTAAACAGTGCATATATATCAATATATATGATAAATAACAATGTTATCAGTCATTCTGGGTGTGGTTAGCCTATAAAAGCCATGACAGAGATAAGGGTAAAATTAGACATATTGATAGGGGCTGTATTAAGACACTATCAACACGCTCATTGTGCCAAAGATAAGTTACCAAGAGGGGAAAAAAAGCACAAAGATTGCCATTGTTCTGCTGTTCATGTGACGCACCAACTCCACTTCCTTATTTAAAGTAACGCCACAGCCGTGAGTGTCTGTACTGACTGAAAAGCAACGTGTCTGACCAAAGATGAATGGTAAACCTGCGAGAGTTAAAGTGGGCGCCATACCAAAGCTTCCCTGCACCCGACAACAAAAGGTCTACTGTTGTAGGAAATGAAAGCAGTTGAGAAGTGGTTGTGTTGGCACGGCTGGTGCCTAGGTATAAGCTTCACTTGTCAGCAGCTCTGAGAGTCCTGTTTCTGCCTGGACGATGTGCCAGCTGGCCTACGGAAAATCAAGCTCTACCTGTTGCACTGCCCTCTCTCAGCACAAGTGAGATTTATACAGAAGATGAACTGGTGACCCCATAATCCATCAGAGGGCCAAGATGTACCTTCATATATAATAATTGTAATGTTCTAATGGATGCCATGCATTTTTCATGTTGGATGTTAACGGTGTGAACTACGTGCATTTAGTTAAAGTAAGAATGGACCAAACGAATGCAGTTGAACATACTGGAAGTATCAAAATAGGATTGCATGCAACAGAATGGCTTTAATTGTCTGCAACAAGTTACGCATGATGTCTGATTTTTATATTGCTTTGAATTTCACAACATGTAGAGCACATTCTGTAGATGAGTCATTTAGCTTTACTGACCTTGGAAGTTCCCTTATTGGAGAAATAAAGGCCCGACCTACGCAGGACAAAATAGAACTTCTTCCAAGATTTCCTGCTTTGCTCTTTGGCATGGAGGTGTCCATGTATCTCTGGACATGTGCTGGAGTTGAGAAAGGTCTGTGTTGGGTAGAGAAATATTTGTCCATACATGGGTGTGTACAGTATAATCTTAAGGTACACAGCACATTTAAACAATTGGCACTCAAAGTCAAAGAAAGTGCAGAGTAAACAGAAAGAACTTACCTGTATAAGCTGAGAGTGATCCACCATGCCATTGGTTTCACTGGATATGGAGACCATGTGATCCGGGAAAAAGTCCTACCAATATGAGAGCAGTTATTACAGGGTGGTAGGAAATGTAGGTGGGTTAGTACAATAGAAAGGATATTTAAGGCAAAATGATAAACCCATTACAATACATACAGTTTACTCTCATCACAAACTCACCAGGGGTTTCCTGAAGAACTCGTATTTAGCATAATTCTTCCTAAAATACAGCCGGCAGTCTGTGTCCATTCCCCAGCCGGATAGCACCTCCATAACAGACTCATGGTCTTCAATGGTTCTCTCTAGTGAGACAAGTAGGAATGAAAAGAAATGTCAACTTCACGTGTTTCTCTCTTCTTCATTGATAAAAGACGGAGGCTGAATAGATTCAGCTGTAACACCAAACCAAAGTTAACGAAAAGACGTCGGCAAAATATTTCCTGACTAGAGTTGTGTTGCTTTACTTTGAGGCACAGAGTTTGATTATTAACTTTATACCAATGTTTAACCGCTGGATGAGAACGCGAGCAAATCAGTACAACATGAAACTTAATTATTTCCCAGAATTTGAAATGATAAAAAATAAATCAATCAAGAGAGCCATGTTAAGGAGCGTTGAACAACATCAGGGCAATCACACAACAAGTAACTATTCATGCTGTACTGTCAATGACTGGTAACATAATTCTGAAAAATTACAGCCCTGTTTTGTAGATGATTTAATTGAATAACACAATAAACATTTATTAATATGAACTCAATACCATGAAAACAATGTATCTTCAAATTAAACCTATTTTGTATTATATTGGTTCTTTATAAGGGTTATAAAAGATCAGGGGAACATTGTAAACCTACAAAGAAGCATTTGACCCGTTTGTTTATTCTGGACAAGTTAAACTAAGAATATGTAATTAACTATTTGTTTCACTTCAATTATTAGGCAACAGAGAACAAATAAATTGATGACTAGAGAAAAACAGATGTATGAATTAGGTCAAGTGTGAAATAGTGTGGAAATGCAGCTGAGAAATCTTTTTTATGCAATCAGACCAGATCAGTGTTAATATACCATTGACTGATTGTTTCCTTTTTCACTCTTATTTGAAAAAGAACTACATTTGATGTCCTTCATACAACATATAGTTGAATGCAATGCTGATGTGCATCACACTATATGTTAAATAAACGGGTAACCCTCACAGCACATTTTTGGACGCAGGATAAATGAAAAATTCAAATTGTTCTTCAAAGCAAGCTATTAAGACCTAAAAAGTAGTTTAAATGGTTGCATATTTTTAAAACAAACCCTTTCAGTTGGGTTTTCAGGCCATCCAAAATAAAAAATAAATGGGCTTTGAACGTCCAAACGCACCTCCACACAAACAACAAACATTGCTCTAAGATTAACTGGTAATAAATTATGTTGATGATGTATAGTGAATAATGTGGGATTGCTAATCCTCATTATAATGGGCTATTTGTTCTTTTTTTTACATATTGAATCATTTATTTAAAAGCATTTGAATAGAGATTTTTAAATGTCAATTACCACGAAAAAAAAGAAGCTTTGGATCATTAATTTCAGCGTTAGTTAAGCTGGTGATCCTTTAAGTGAAATAACCCGATCAGCAGCATCACATACAGTACAATACTAGCAGGATGAAATATTATAAAAGTGAGAGAAAATCTAAATACCCGAGAGAGTTATTATCTTATCATGCATTGCACTACCTACTTTCTAATGCAAGGCCAATGGAGGATGACGGACAATGTTTTATGCAAGGGGATTTATAATTGATGCCTCAAGTGATAAAGACACAATCATAACCCCCCCCCTCATTATCTTCAGGATTTGATTCGGCACTGAATTGGTTAACAATTTAGACAGTGCTCCTTTTCACTCACATTTACAGTATCTACACGTCACCACCCCTCACTCCTCCCATCAAATCCTCAAACCTCACCCACAAGACTAACAACATTACCATCACATGGTTAATACCAGTACTGTAAATATGGCCAAATCAAATGTATGATTTACTGTCTCTACTTTAAAGTACTTTTCGAGACTTGATAAGGATATTTCTACAGGACACAATATTTCACCTATTCCCAGATGAGAGATGTGTTCAAAAAGAGTCCAGCTGTGGTCATCAATGCAGTGGTTCTTCAGGACGAACAGCTGGCATATGTCCCGGGCAGTGATGTCACTGGGAACCTCGACTGCTCTGCTGGTGTTGTCTTCATTATAAACTTTGATTACCTGCAACAAAAAGTATTGAGTTATCTATTGCAATCACTAAAGAATGGAAACTGAATCTTGTGTTTGGCTTGAAGTAATGCAACGAACAGTATGAAAAGTGAGGTAAAGTATAAGACAAATTATACACCAGTTAGTTACCCCTTGCAAGCGCTATTTCACGAGAGAACAATGTACCAAGTATACTCCAGATTGTACATATTTGAGAAAACTGTTCATTAATCATAACACTTAAGAAGAAGAACTTACCCCCCTGTTTGCAGTAAGTTGTTTTGAGTTTGGACAAGATCTGTAGCGTATGCATGGCTGAGTACACAGCATTGCAAAAGAGAGCTTTTGCAAGTAACATAAAAACACGCGTCTGACAGCACTGCGAGTGTCAGCTGGGAAGCAAGAGTCTCTCCCTCTTTCTCTCTCTCTCTCTGTGTGCTTCGGTAGAGCTGAAAGGAGGCAATTAGACAAAACTGCCTCTCAGCACAGCCCTGTCCCGACTCCACATATCTGTATCGCTGCGGCTTAATACCAAATCACCTCCTACCTTTTCTCCACCACTAAGCGTCAAGAAGCCAGAGATCAATCTGCTCATTCACTAGAGCCCCTTTCAGACATGCACCTTGTGACCTAGTAACATCTCTGTATCACTTTAAACACTCGTCTGAATTGAGAGAGAGTAAGATTACTTGCATCGCCTACTAAGACCACTGTAATGAATTATCTAAATCGTCATCTTATATGCACAAAGTCAGGGTTAATAAATTGTAAAAGAGCTAATTTTTAATTGTTGAGGAGATCAAACTTCTCATATCAGATAAAACGTTTTAAATGTTTCCCGCAGTGAGGAACATTAATGTAGAAATCATGTCTAAATGACTAATTGCCATCAATAGATAGATGAAGCCAGCAATGTTGCATATACTTTTTCATGTCTGAAAAGGGCTTAGGGGGAGGAGAGAGAAAGACAGAGAGAGTCACAAGGCTCCAACCCCCTCTCCATTCCCATTCACACGCCCATGGCAAGCAGAGCTCCCAGCATAATGCCCTGCAAGAGCCCACAGAGCAATTACAAAGGTGCTGGTTAAATGTAATGCTAGTTGGGTCAACTCGGCCTAAAGTTGACAGAGGTGGGAACGGAGGGGGCACAGAGGGAGGCACAGTGAAGACCAAATGACTGTCTCTTTTCTTGTCTTTCAATGAGTGCTATTGGTAGTTTAAAGCTGGGCAGGGCGAGTCTGACTCCTTTTGTGGAGAGAAAGGAGGTCAGCGCTCTCCAGCAGGGCTGAGGTTTGAGTCCTCAAGGAGCCATCAGCAAATGAGAGCCTCCAGCTATGACATCATCTCTCAGTGTAAACCATTTAGTGTTTAATCAGCCTGCTCGGAGCCTGACAAGACAAATATCTTTGCCTATGGAAGTATCACAAAGACAAGAGCCTGCATTAAACTGATTACACCAGTGTTTAAATATAGTGTACTTCACACTGCAGGACAATTATCTAGAATTTACTCATATCAGAGACAGAGACCGCGGGGAACAATAGTGCCAAATCATTTTCATTCATATCATTATAATAGCAGCAGTTTTTATTTGCTGCATGCTGGTAATGCCAGCATCAAGCCTGGGCTTCTGTTAAACTGCTTTGAAGAAGTGGTTTCCTGAGAGTTGGCCAAATCAAATCATTCAGGCATCACATTTCACCAGGAACAGGGTAGGGTTTGTCAAGAGGACGAGGAAACCTTTGGTGCATTAGCATGGCATATGTACTTTATGTTTGCATTACTAAGCATAGACCAACTGAGAATATTAGAGTGAGTTTCCATGCAAATTTGAGTTTGCAATTTTGAATTGAATCCACTTCATCACTCGGACAATATCCTGTAAACTCTTCTACACACAACAGCTACTGAAAGAGCATTTTAAGAGGAGGAGGAGACAGGGAGACTACCCAGAGTTACACAGCAGTATTTTATGTTGTAAATTGTATTGATATTTTGTAAAGAACTAATGGCGACTCTTAGGAAGCTAATGTGTTTAACAGCTGGGATAAAGACACACTGCATGAAAACTGTTACACAGATGCTTCACAATTTACAGCTTTAGGGCCAACTTTTGCTACCGTCATACACAAACACATGGTCGCCAACACACAATCATACAATCATGCTGGGGGTTTTCACCTCCGCAGTAGAACTCGGAGGAATTGCAGGAAAACTTCCACTGTGCAACATACGCAACTTACAGCAAATTGTTCATTTTCTACTTCACAAATACTAAATGTTCACCACAGTTTTTTAAACATATAAATGATGTTCATGTTAAGATAAAGATAATATTTGTTGGGTACTTCTGCTGGAGAGTGGACATCAGATCTACAAAAGTAAAACAGCTTCCTGTGAATGTAAGTGTGCTGTCTCCATGGTAACTATGATAGTAATATTTGTTTTAACATTTGCATAATTATCACCAATTATTTGATGTCAAATAGTGGGTGTTTGGCCTGAGGCACCAAAATGTTGCTCACATGGTTTGCCATCAAAAAAGATTTCAAAGTGTGGCTTTTAAATATGAAATCTGCTCTCCATGTTATTATAGATTGACTTATTTAGCAGATGCATGAGTCAAGCACATATGCACCAGAGGTTCTTTCAAAACGTCGAAAAATATTCTATGGAGAATCATAGAAAAAATATTTTACACAAAAAAATACAGGAGTAAAATAAATCTTGTAGAAAACAACCACAATCAGTTGAGAATTATTTTTACTTTCACAAAAATATATCATTAGGCAGTTGTTTCACCACCAGTGGGTGGAAGTTATGTTAATCATTGGTTCAGAGATTTTAATGAATGGCCAGGCAAGGTAGCACACTGTGTAAATGTCTAATGTCTTTATCAGTGAACACAGAGCGGCATTCATCGGCAAGTAACCCTGATCCAAATGTACACATACTTTCACCTGAAAAACATTCATGTCAGTCTACGTCATGTCAATCAAGTTCACCTTTAATGTTGCAGCACTCAATAATTAAGAATGTCACCAAGAGAGTTATTTTTGTGTTAGATTATTGTTCCTTGCTTTAAAGGGAAAAAGAGCAATGTAAAATGCCTTTAGTTGTGTGTAAGTTGTTGTTTTAGTACATTAGTTAAATACTTTAACAAAGTGATGGCACCAAAGCTCACCTCAATGGGGAATAGTTTTGATGGCAATATATTTTTTTCAAAGTTGCATTCATCAATTCAGGTGACTTTCAGCATAGCTGTCACATTGATTTATTTTAACAGCTCCCACACAAAACAGTACTGTTAGCTTAGTATAAAAGGCAGAGTAAACATTGCCTCCTCTAACTCAAAGACGCAGTCTAAATACTGAAAGTGGTTGATGCGAGTATATCCTGCTGTGGCCAGAAACTTTTTAAGAGGCAGTTGTTAATAACAAGAACCAGTGGACTGCTGGCAAAATGTCCTCTAAAAGGCAAATTATATCCTTTTTTGAGAAATATAAAAAGATGTCCATTGGGCTGATATTGTTTTTTGACATGGATGTAAAAAAATCAAATACATTTTAAAGTTGGAAAAGTAAACTTTTCAGTGGTCTATGGTGAACAGAAAATGTTTTTAAACACTACAATCTCTCTGAAACATGCAAACGCAAGCCATGTTCAACTACAACACTGTAGATTTGTAGAGCTTCATCTCAGGGGGTGGAATGGAACCAAAGCAATATAACATCATGTGCTGTCTTAAAAGACATTTAAATGAAAAGCAAAAAATAGAGTAAAGCCAGGCATTGACTTTGCCCCACTACATATAGTCTTGTTGAACATAAACTCCTCTTTTAGACCTTCTTATCTCAAGGACAGGACGGTGTGAGCCATTTCGCCAATTAGACTGCTCTGCTTTAACCTTGAACTGCACTCCCACAGCTGCAGCTCTATCATGGAGCGGTGGTGAGGAGGTGGCCTCCAGCCTTGTCTTAAAGAACTATTAAGAAATGTCCCAGCTCCCCACGGTTACTAAACTAAAAACAACTGACGGTCTCAACCCAATGTTTTTCACATCCAAATATTAGCTGGAAATACAAAGCCATAGTGAGAATGCTAGTTACTTTACATGGGAGGCACTTATCAGGAACATAATTACAACAGCAGAAACATTTTATCAGGCCACATAGAAAATGCTGGAAAGCTACAGTAGTAGCTACTTAACCCTGGTTAGCTGCTTCAGCCTTGAAAATGGTTACAAATTATTTAAATAAATGAACACTGCTGAGTTTATAAGGCTTGGATTTGCACAACATTTTATAGTAAGGTAGGACAAGCAAATACACTTGAGTTGGCTGTGCCCCTTTATAACACCATTTTCATCTCATAATACCTATGTGGTTCACAAGAAGGTGCCATATTTGTCACACAGGTCCACAATTCATTGTGCATTTCATCTTGCAAGATGGTTTAAACTCCATGTGGCCCCTGTCTGTAACAAGTGATTACATTGTAAGTATGACATGGAAGCAGGCCTGAGGTTAAGATTTTCCAATATACTGCTGTTGGACAGAAGTTTGTGAAAATAATTACCTTGAATATAACAGAAGCAACACCATAATCAGGTGTTCTTTGCTGTTCCTCAAAAAGACACTACAAAACACTTTATATTATATTCTAACATGCTGGAACTCTTTGTCTGGTATTTATACTACTTATCAAAACAAATTGCACATTTTGCACTACCAAAGTAAAGTGACACCAGGCTAGCGTCCTGTATTGTGTTTTTGTGCATGTCAGCAAGAGCAAAAATCCCAAAGTTCGCCAGCGGGAGATTCTCTCACACATACTCCTCTTACCAGAATTTGTTTTGATTGGACTCCTTTGTTTACTTCAACATAATGACATCACAATTTACACTCAAACTTCTATTGCCTGCTGTGTGCCTGCTCAGAGTGTCTGTTTTCATTTCACTGATACAAAAACTGCAAAAACTGCCCAACACAAGACGAGAAACTTTAACTTCA